AAGCAAAGCAATATACTTTAGCTTTTAAGAATAAATTAACTTACCTTTCATCTCTAGGCTCAGGTTGGTTCCGATGTAAAATTTTCTGATAGGCCAATGTATAAACAACATTACTGCTTCGAGTTCCTCAATTATTGTTTTAATGTTTTCGTTCTCTTCTGGCTCTTGAATAGTATCAGACCTTGAGTCTACATCCATTTGTCCATTCCAGTTGAGGTTTGCGTTGTTAAATCCTAAACTGAATTCTGTAATTGCTATTTCTTGTCTACAACGTCATTTTTTATGCTTGAATCTGCCACTGAATTGATACTTCGAAAATCCTATTGATCATCACAGATTTGTCTTATTCCCCATTGCGAAGTGAACTTAATAATTTGATGTAAAGTAGACGGAACAACATCCATCTCGTGAATTCAATGTCTGTCGAAGATCATATTGCATGCCATGTCCACATCTATCACTTGAAATTTGTATCTTTGACTACTCCTTCTGCGAATGTGGTGAGCACTATATCCCCTTTTGTAACAACACTTGAATTGTCAAATCCAGATAAGGTACGTGCTTTGGGTATCAATTTGTCATCAGCTTGCATCTCATTTACCACTCTTAAAAGAATGATATTTACAGAGCTACCTGGATCAATAAAAACTCATTTCACATTAGTATCATGTACAAGTAAAGATATTACCATTGCATCATTGTGTGGGATCATCATGCCATTTGCGTCTGCATCATCAAATGTTATGTTGTCTTCTTCCAAAACTTGGCAAACTCGCTTTCTTTGGGTAATTTTGACTTTTGACACCTTTTTTGCAGTCATATATGTCACACTGTTGACCTCCTCTCCTCCGCTTATCACGTTAACCGATCTTTTTGGTGACGGAGGTTTTGGTGGCTTTTGTTTATTCATCTTATAGGCTTGCTTACCCTTCTCACTAAACAGATCGGTTAAATAGCCAGTATTATAAGTGATCTACTTCAACTTGTAGCAATCTGCTATTTTATGACCGTGATCATTATAAAATCGCACCAGAAATCTGGGTTTCTTCTGTTGGGCTTCGATATCATTTCTTTTGGCCACCACACCTTATCTCCCATGCTTTTTGAAACAGCTGCCAACTTGGATGTGCTAAGATTGAAACTGTAACCACCAATCTTTGCTTTTGTACTACTATTGTTGTCCCGCGTATCTCGCTCCTTTCCAAACTTGGATGATGAACCCGCATCTCTGTCCCTTGATCTAGAATTGTACCTCGGGTTCTCCTGTTTAGAACGTGAATCCCTTCCTGCTGGTTCCATGTAAGGGTCGTACCTATTTTTACCGGATCTTTTTTCAGTTTCTGGTCACCTCAAACTTATTCTTTCATCTCCCCGTGACTGAGTGATAGTATCTTCTTCTATCCGCAGCTTCGTACTATACTTGTTGTAAACATCACTCCAAGTTGTTGCAGGGAATTCTCGTAGACTTTCTTTGAGTCTCTTCGTGGCTTCTAAGATTTTTTCATTTAAGTTACTTGCAAACGCCATGGCTGCCCAATTATCCAGTACACGTGGTAGCATCATCCTTTCACGCTGAAATCTATCCACAAATTCCCAAAGTAGCTATGCATCTCCTTATTTTATTTTGAAGATGTCTTCCATCCTCATTTCAACTTTCTGAGCTCCTGAGTGTGCTTTTATAAATGAACCTGCAAGCTCAACAAAAAAGTCAATAGAATTTTCTGGTAAAAGAGAGTACCATGTTCGTGCTCCTTTTGTAAGTGTTTCGCCAAATTTTTTGACCAGCACCGACTCAATTTCTTGCTTGGTCAAGTCGTTGCCCTTCACGCCAGTTGTACATGCAGTTACATGATCTCATGGGTCAGTTGTCCCATCATACTTCGGAATATCGGGCATCTTAAATTTTTTTGTAATTGCCAAGGTAGCGGCACTTGGCTTCTAGGGCTGTTGAGAATATTTATCAATATCCACCCCTTTAATCACTAGTGGCACACCAGATATCTGCTCTATGCGATCGTTCTACTCCTTGAGCTATTTCTGCAAAGTTAGTATTAAACTTTGTAAATCAGAATTATCTGGAATACTTGACCTTCCATCGCGAGATTCGCTGAGAGTTCCTCCACTGCCTGAATTAGCAAGTCCCAAGCGTGGATTCTCTATGGTTGCGGTGTTTTTGGAGGTGGAGTTGGTGGTACAGTTGACAACCCACTAACAAAAGCTTGGAGAACATTGTTGACGTGTTCTGTAATTAATTGGTTCAATGCATCTTCAGCAGTTTGATCGTCCCCTTGTTGATTATTCACATACGATGCTGATGTGTCAGGTGACCCTTCTCGGGAGTGTTGAGGAGAATTTTGGGGTGAAGGGATTGGAGTTTCATTCTCTTGTTGATTCTGTTGGTTCAACTGGTTTTGTTGATTGTTGTCGTTAGCGGTCGACATGATTTTTTGATAGAAAAATAAATTTTGAAAGTGAAAAGATTATCAGATTCCTAGTAATCGAACCAATTTATTTAACCAAAAAAATGGGTATTTCCGTCAAATTCTATTTTTAGAAGTACTCGGGCTACTGATAATCAAGAAATTCAATATTCTTTCAGTAATAAGAAAGGAAATTAGAATCTGAAATGGCAAAGTAATCAATAGAAAGCAAAAGAAGGTAATTGTATTCCAATAATAATCAGAACATGTCTTTACATGTGAAATCCCCTTCCCTTATATAGGGATCTGCAAGTATAATGTTTCTTCCCTTTTATGACTGAATCATTATGAACATTAGTGATATTAATGAGATGTTATAATTGGCTATCGTAACTGTTCATGAAGATTCTGTAACATCTATGATCATTCATGCACATTAATTGACGATTCAAAAATCTTCCTTCTTTACTGTCTTGATTCATTCTGTCAGTGTCTCTTCATATAGCAATTCAGACTCGAGCGACCATACCCCTTTTATCTCGTGGGTGATTTGTTCGTATCTATTACGACTCGTGCCTCTTTTAATGCATCTATCCATCTGTCATTTTCTTAGTGATCTACGTGTCTTACCACATCAGCCATATATATAAATCCATGTGTAATATTTATTTTTACCAATATACACAGCAGGGCTTTACAAATAAAATTTGCAAAATTTCTATGTTGCTTCACCAGAATTAGTATGTGTATACATAATATGAAATAGTAATAAAGGGCATTTTAATTATTCATACCTCTCTTGCAACAGAACTACTCCAAAATCTCAGGCCATTAGCGTTGTTCTAGAGAATAATTCGAATAATTCCACCATTATTTTGTTTTTTGTTTTTAAGAAAACACTCTGCCTGTTTGTAGCCAGATAATGAGATAAAGGAATAGAGTGTGATAGGTACGCCTAAAACTAGCCAATTATGATGATCCACGTAGAATTAGATTGAGGATTCATATAGTCAATCTCAATTTGTTTGAAATTGTGGTTTAATTGTTGTTGTATTTCATTTTAAAGAAAAATAGAAGTTGGAACAAATTTTTAAAAAGGGTAATAGGTAAATTCTTGTTTTGGCAAATAATAATTCTCCTAAATCGGATAATTGGTTGTTAAAAGTTTAACGTATTTAGTCTTTTATTACCGGGTCAAATTCAGGATATTAGAGTAACATAATTGTTTATTTTTCCTTAAGAAAATATAGTTAAACCAATTTTTCGAATATACATACATTGTAGGCGCAGTTCGTGGACACTCGTTTAGGCTTGGTGTTAGTGTTGTTATACTCTTTCTTATTCACAATAAGCGATTTTAAGCCTTTCAAATTTGGTCGAAAATAAGTAATTTTTAAAGATGAAGAAGGTATTAATCTTTTTTCTCAAAAAGGGTTGAGCCAAGTTTGATCATTTCATAACACAACTAGTTCGACATTGTTCTATGTAACTATTGAAATACTCTACAAAGAGGAAATTTTATTTTAATTTTTTAAAAATAAAAAATAAAACTAGTAGTAATAAATTGATAGGAAATCTAATGCAAATGAACTGGAGAATACTTATAGTAGCACTCCAGTATTTATGTTCAAACCAAAAGAAACACAGCTCTTGTAGGTCAAGTGGGGCTGAAGAAACAGAGACCTTCTCCTATGCAGGGCGGAGCTAGTGTGTAGGTAACGAGTTGGGTTGAATTCAATAACTTTTGTCCACATGTACAAATTATTACTTTAGAACCTAATAACAATTTAAATTCCAAAACAATAAGCTTCAAATTCTAATTCCGCCGGCACTCCTACGCTAAAGAGAGAATAGACCCAGAGGCAGGCCTATGTATAGAGAAAAGGGGTCAGCGGACTCCGTTAATATCGGCAAAAATTCTTGCTATATATGTTCAAAAATGGTCATATATTTTGCAATCCTTAAAGACTAAAAGTCCGATCAGGCACTAGTTGACCAATCCGCTTATGTGTCCGCCAACTTCAAATCCTTGGTTTGTCTATGGTTGAATCAGATGCATCAAATGTCCTTGCCCTGTTAGCAAACACAGGAGCTTCTATTGTTTGATAATTCAAACAATTGATTGCTCTTTCTTTGTATCTTCTTCATTCTCCTATTAACTATATGAGAAGATAAATAAAAGAAAGGAGAAGAGGAGAAGCAAAAGCTTCACAAAATTATTATATAAAGATGGAAAACTTTGGAAATGAGAAGTCTCTAACTTGTAGCCTTTGAGAAGTAGATAAAATATTCCCAAATTGACTGTGGATATATATATATATATATATACATAATAAAAAAAACAGTCTAGTGCATTAAACTCTCGCTATGTGCGGGATTCGGGGAAGGGCCGTACCACAAAGATCTAACGTACGTAGCTTTACCCTGCATTTCTGCAAGAAGTTGTTTTCACAACTCGAGCCCATGACCTCCTGGTCACATGGCAACAATCTTACCAATAACGGCAAGACTCCTTCTTACTTACTGTGGATATATATAACTATGAAAAATGGACAATGGACAATGCAGTGGTAAGTTCTTCTAGTCATGCCAACAAAGAAGCATAACAATACATCTTCGAATTATAAACAGCCTACCCTTTTGCTCTTTAATGTATTCTCTTACACTTTTACATGAAAACTTCTTATCATCACCTCCCACTTTCGAACTTTCCATCTCCATATATGAATTATGATATGATTCTCTTTTACTGATAATTTCTCTGAGAAATATTGAAGACTAATTAAGTAACAGAGTTGTTTTAGTGATGAATGAGTACTTGTCAGAATTGCTTTTCTTCTTATAGAAAAAGAATGAAAAGATATATGGTCCATATGTAGTACTCTCCAGGTTCTTTTGCAAAGAGTCAAATAGAAGACTGATGAAGCCATTAAAGGATAACACATTGTCCCCTGCCCTACTATGCCCTACTTTGTGTCACTATCAATGAAGGATCCAACGCGTGTTCGTGGTCCGGCAAAATTTCATGTTTTTTTACTCGAACATCAAGTATGTTCATGAAAAATAAATATAAATAGAGTTAGATATATTCACACTACACTCTTTCAACTCTCGAGATGTAAAATTCTAAATTATTCTCCACGTCCTGCTGTTTTACCTTTTTTAAACCCCGTCAAGGTCTCACGCGATGTTGCTTCATCAATTTTTTTTATTAAACTCGTTTCTGGACATGTACATTGCACGTCTATGTCTATCTCTTGTCACAAATTTTTTAAAGGGGCTAAAATAAAGCAAAAAAGTGCTAGCTAAAAATGATGAATTGCATACGCAATATAGTGTTGAACTTAAAATAATTGGATATGTAGATATATTTTCTTATTATTTAATGTTATGAGATACAAATATGTAATATGATATAGCATACCCAATTTTTTTTATAAATGTTATTTTTGGAGTTTGTTCTATTACAACATTTTAATTGTTTGTCATGATGATAATCTTATTGTGGGCGGTGATATCCCTCATGAAAATACAATGAATATGTAATTGTCAGTGTGAAAAAAATTGTTGAGGAACATACAACCCAAAATTGGAATTGTTTGGTCTTGTACTTTACTTATTATCCTTAAATCAAATAGCATGGCATGATAGAGCTCGATCAGGAGCAACAGAATTTAAGAATGACACCATTGTATAAGTAAGGGTATTCAATCCACTAGTGCAACTGAAGGTGCGCAGCCTCTTCTGAACCGGAACAAGAAAGAGCTCATAACCACTGCTTGTGAACAGCTCTCCTCAACTTAAGGCGCACCTACTCTTACTAGAAGTCTAGTCTCTCTCAGGTCCAGTTTCGATCTCTAACTAACTAACTTACAACATAGGCCGGAAGAGAGATATTCAGAAAACCCGATTTCCTGTCTTAAGAACCTGACTCAAAAGAGAAAAGAAGACCGGACTAAAAGAGATCTCACTTTCGACGATTGAACTTGACTTTTATATCCAGATTGGAACTGGACTTAAACGTCTTTGGATCCTGCTTAGGGCCGGCTTTCACTCCACTTTCACTTTCATATCAGGAACGTCGACTTGCACTTGCAATATAGAATTTGACTTTCCGGAATCCNATGACTTTCCGGTGTAAAAGGTAAACGTGAATCCATGTATAGAATAAACTTTTAATACAAAAACCAATATATCACATGACAGACTTAACCAATCTTAGCTGATTTATGTTACTAAAACCTAAACAAAATGAAATTTAGCAATAAAAATCAAATTTAGCTACTGTGCATGCAAATGTTAGTAATGTTATTGGCATGATTTATAGTTCAGTAGCAATAAAAAAGACACAAAAGGGACTTGGGGAAAAATAGCCAAAATGCCCAAAAATAAAAGTTATCATCACGACGAGCATCTAAACTCTCGCAATAATATAGCCAGGAACTCACCAATTGTAAATAAAGAATGCTCTTCTTTAGGAAAATTTTCAAGCTTAATGTAAAATGAACTACTCGTCAAGATAGCCAATAAACTAAATTCAGTATTTTTCTATTACGTATAAAACAGTAGATAAGAATTAAAAACACACACAAAAAAAAATCAAAAACAAAAGAAAGTGAACACAACTATGCCAAAATGATACAAGAATTACTTTTTAAATATGGGTTGCATAGCTTTCCGGGACCATTACATTTGTCACGATCCGGATTTTCCACCCTCGGGAGTCGTGACGGCGCCTACTAATGTGAACTAGCCAAGCCAATCAATTAACTACTTATTTCATTACTCAATTATTTCTTTAAAACAAATATAAGACGATAACATGAAAACAACAGAACTTTAAATAATTAAGCAGAAGATAACAACTAAATATCTGAAATCTGCATCTATTACAACTCTTAAAACCTAAAGCACCCAAAACCTAGTGTCACAGTGTCACAGACGGTCTAAGATTTACTACATACAAAGTCTGAAGAAAATGACAATACACTGTTTCTGAATAAAAGGAAAATGAAACAGGAAATAGGAATAGAGGAGACGTCAGGGCCTGTGGACGCCTGCAGGTCTACCTTGGATCTCCGCGAGGACTGAAGGTAGCCTCCACACTACGGTCCAAAAGCTGCTCCGGGATCTGCACATAGTGCAGGTAGTATCAGCACAACCGACCCCATGTGCTGGTAAATGTCTAGCCTAACTTCGACGAATTAGTGACGAGGCTAGGACCAGACTACCAAATAACCTATGCAGTTCAACTACATACATAGTGGAAAGAAATACATAAATAACCAGTCAATATGGGAGAGAGAGCATGCTTTGGGGGAGATAAGAATTCCGAATAGAAAGACATCAAGTAATGAAAGAAACAATATAACTCGGATACCAACAAAGAATCAGAAATCAACAAATGTACGGCATCACCCTTCGTGCTTTTACTCTCGTCCTCACCAAAGCAATCATATAATAAAAATGTGCACGACATCACTCTTCGTGCTTTTACTCTCTTTCTTCGCCATATAATTAATAAAATCGGCACGGAATGGTACATCGTGTGGCACGGCATCACCCTTCGTGCTTTTACTCTCGTCCTCACCAAAGCAATCATATAATAAAAATGTGCACGACATCACTCTTCGTGCTTTTACTCTCTTTCTTCGCCATATAATTAATAAAATCGGCACGGAATGGTACATCGTGTGGCACGGCATCACCCTTCGTGCTTTTACTCTCGTCCTCACCAAAGCAATCATATAATAAAAATGTGCACGACATCACTCTTCGTGCTTTTACTCTCTTTCTTCGCCATATAATTAATAAAATCGGCACGGAATGGTACATCGTGTGGCACGGCATCACCCTTCGTGTTTTACACTCTTTCCTCACAATAATATACGGTATCACCCTTCGTGCTTTACACTCTTTTCTCACAAAACAAACAATGCACGGCATCACCCTTCGTGCTTTAACTCTCTTCCTCACCCAAACAACAATCACAAACAATATGGCAAAGAAATAAAGGAAATTTGCAATAAGAATCCCAACAAGGGAACAACATCAATAACATCCATATCTCGGCAAGGGAGAAAACAAATAAATCAACAATAGCCCGGCAAGGGTGACACCATAATGATCTCTTCTCTTTCTCACTTTTACTTCACAATTCACTTCACAACTCGAGCCAATACTCTAGAGGTTCAATTATCACTTATACCTTCACAATTCATTCACAACTCGAGCTAATGCTCCTCAATGTTCATAGGTCACAATTCTTTCCACAAACTTTATACAACTTGAGTCAATGCTCCTCAATGTTCATAGGTCACAATTCCTTTCACAAACTTTATACAACTTGAGTCAATGCTCCTCAATGTTCATAGGTCACAATTCCTTTCACAAACTTTATACAACAATTAGAAACCATCACCAAGGCATAAAAATGATAATCACAATATAAAGACTCACGGGCATGCTAGATACCAACGTATAAATACTCATCATCATGCCTATACATCGTACTCAACAATTACCACATAGCAAATAAAACTTAACTCTTAATCCCTCAAGCTAAGGTTAGACCAAACATTTACCTCGATGCCACGAACACAATTCACGATTCAATTACAACTTTACCTCTTGATTCCACCACCAATTCGCTCGTATCTAGTCACAAGTTACTTAATTATATCAATAAACTCTAAATGAATCAATTTGAATGCATGAAAATGAGTTTTCTAAAGTTTTACCCAAAAACTCAAAAATCACCCCGGGCCCACATGGTCAAAACCCGATTACCAATTCCCTCACGAACTCAAATATATAATTTGTTTTGAAATCGGACCTCAAATCGAGGTCCAAATCCCCAATTTTTGAAAAACCTAGGTTCTACCCAAAACATCCAATTTCCCCCATGAAAATCATTGATTTGAGTTGAAATCATGTTAAAAGATGTTAAGGAGTGAAGAAAATATGTGTTAGAAATTACTTACCAACGTTTTGGAGAAGAAAGGTTGTTTGAAAAATCGCCTCTTATGTTTTTGGGGTTATGAAAAATGAAAAATAACTTAAAATCCCGTCTAAATATACTACTCTCAGATGCCCTGTGCGGACCGCACAAAATCAACTGCGGCCGCACAGCCCCCGTGTGGACTGCAGTGACATGATTTAGCAGTTGGCCATAAATTTCTCTACAGATGTCCAAATTGTGATTTCGTTACCTTTCTGGAAACTAGACACGAAGGGCTACAACTTTTATTTTTGAATCATCTCAAAATTCTTTGTAAATCAAAAGATATATGCTTCCGAAGTCGGACCAGTGAACTTGTGCGGACCACACAAAATCAACTGCGGCCGCACAGTCACCAGTGCGGATAGCACAAAAACTAGTGCGGACCGCACTAGCAGGTTCAGAGATTTGCACTACTCTGAACCTCCAGTAGTCATATTTTAAGCTTAAGATACCTCAGAACCTACCCGAAACTCACCCGAGCCCTCAGGACTCCAAACCAAATGTGCATACTAACTCAAAAACATCATATGAACCTACTTGTGCGATCACATCATCAAAATAACATGTAAAATCATGAAATAAACCTCAAAACTCAACATTTTCATCAAGAACTCTCAAAGTTCATAACTCTTCAATCATAAGTCCAACTCACATCAAATAAACTCCGGTTTCACCAAATTTCACAGTTATCTTTCAAATACTATAACAAGTTTGTACC